AACCCCATTAATTTACAACAACATTGGAATGAACTCTGCTAATATGAATACCAGAGTTGCACTAAATATTACACATGTTACTCAGACACAAAAGATGATGACGTCTTTGCCACTACCTGAATGAGAGTGCCAGTAGTGAGTGCCAGGATGGTCAGCCAGAAAGTGATATCTGTAAATATTTGATAAAAAAATGAATATGAATAAGTATCCATTGGTAAAATAATGTGTTTTTTTATATAATCAATTTAATTTGAGAAATAACCAGTGAATGATCTCTTTAAAAAGTTTTGAAAAATAGTGAATGCTTAATATCTTAATGATTTATGCACTTTAATGGAGATATTGATGAATAACGATTAATATTTCATACACAATGTCTTTTGCTAATGTTGTTCTTGTCATGATAACAATAACAAGGTAATGAAAATTGGTTGTTCTTATCCGAGTGTTATTGTTCTTATTATCTAATTATTTGCTGTTATTCTGATTATTAAGATAATTGTTTTTACCATTTTCGAAAAAAGGGGATTGAAGGAGGAAATGAAAAATATTAGAAGGACGACGACAAGAAAGTACTAAGAGAGGGGCAGGAGGGGTGGGGGTAAAAGAGGGAGGGAGGGAGGGAGGGAGGGAGGCAGAGAGAGAGAGAGAGAGAGAGAGAGAGAGAGAGAGAGAGAGAGAGAGAGAGAGAGAGAGAGAGAGAGAGAGAGAATGGGAATGAGAAAGAAAGACAGAAAAAAACAACAAAACCCAAAAACCATAAATAAAACTTACCCCACCCTCCCCCCATATTTCCTCACACCCACCCTCACCCTCACCCACCCCCACCCCCTCACCCACGCTCACCCACCTGAACGTATTTCCTGCCGGGATTGGGCACTGGGTGAGGAAAGGCACGCCATCCATGTAGGGAGTGCCTTGCTGGTGGAGTCCGTGCCAGTGGATGGAGGTGGAATCGCTGCCGAGTTCGTTAACCACATCCACAATCATCTCATCACCCACGCATACCTGGCGGAGGAAGTGGAGAGGCGGGTTAAGGTATGGTAATGATATCAATGAAACGGAAGACATCAATTCTCTCTTTCTTTCTTTCTTTCTCTCTCTCGCTCTCGCTCTCTCTCTCTTGCTCTCTCTCTCTCTCTCTCTCTTTCTTGCTCTCGCTCTCTCTCTCTTGCTCTCTCTCTCTTGCTTTCTCTCTCTCTCTCTCTTTCTCTCTCTCTCTCTCTCTCTCTCTCTCTCTCTCTCTCTCTCTCTCTCTCTCTCTCTCTCTCTCTCTTTCTTGCTCTCGCTCTCTCTCTCTTGCTCTCTCTCTCTCTCTCTCTCTCTCTCTCTCTCTCTCTCTGTGTGTGTGTGTGTGTGTGTGTGTGTGTGTGTGTGTGTGTGTGTGTGTGTGTGTGTGTGTGTGTGTGTGTGTGTGTCTGTCTGTCTGTGTGCGCGCGCGCGTGTGTGTGTGCGTACACGTGCTTACATATCTGTGAACTGAATACTTGATAAGAAGAGACTATGTATACATCACAGTACATATATAAGATCTCCTAAAGTGAACAAAATCCCTTTTGTATTCTATGAAGCTTGGAATACCATGTAAGAAAATGAACAGGAAAGAAAAAGAAAAACGGACGCTCCGGAAGACACAGAAAATGGGAAATCAAGGGATAACAATTATAAACGGTTTGGTCCTCTCACTGTAACGCTGATGTTATAAAATATTATTTCTTTATATTCGTCATCGCCTTAAGTGGATTATTTTATTTCGTCTTTCAATCCTTATTAATATTATATCAATTCAAGGTGGGTCATTTTTATTTATTTGTTTTATTATCGTTTTTTTTTATTTGCTTTGTTTGTGTTCTTTTGATTATTGTCTCCTCCTTTTCATTTCTTCTTGGTCGCCTGTTTCAATCTTCATTATTTCTTTTATCTATTGCCTCCGTTTTTCTGATCCATTCTCTTTTCTCTTCGTCGCTTTTCTCTGCTCCTTTTACTGTTACGTTTACCCCATCTCCCTTTTCTCTCGATCGTCTTTCCTCCTTTCCTATTCCACCTCCTATTTTCCTTATTTTCTCCCTCTTCCCTCCTTCTCCATCTTCCCTCTTTCTCCCTCTATCTCCTTCCCTCCTTATTTCTCTCCCTCATCCCTCCTCGTCCTTCTTATTCCTTCCTCCTCTCTCCTTCTCCTACCAGCCTCATCAATCCTTCTTCCTCCTCCTCCCCACCTCTTTCTTTCCTCTCTTCTGTCCTCCTCCCTCTCTCTTTTCCCTCTTTCCTCTTCCCCTCCTCATTTCCCTCCCTCCTTCGTACTTCCCCTCCCCCTTCTCCCCCCTCATCCCCCTCCGCCTTTTCCTCTCTTCATCTCCCTCCTTCTCCCCTCCTGCCGCCCACCCTTCCTCTTTCCTCCGCCTCCTCCCCTCCTCATCTCCCTCCCTCTTCCTCCCTCCTCCCCCCATCCCCCTCTCCCTCTCTCTTCCTTCCTCCTCCCCCATCGCCCTCTACCTTCCTCCCCTCTTCCTCTCCCTCCGCTTATTCCCTACCTCCTCCCTTCCCCCCCTCCCTCCGCTTATTCCCCCCCCTCCTCCCTTCCTCCTCCTCCTCTCTCATCCCTTCATCCATTCCCCCTCCATCCCCACCTCCTCCTTTCTCCTCCCCCCTTCCTTCCTTCCTTCCTTCCTCCCTCCCTTCCTTCCTCCCTTCATCCATCCCCACTCCATCCCCCCTTCCTCCTCTTCTCTCCTCCCCCCTCCCCCACTTCCTCCCTCCCTTCCTTCCTCCTCTCTCATCCCTTCATCCATTCCCCCTCCATCCCCACCTCCTCTTCTCTCCTCCCCCCCTTCCTCCCTCTCCCCCCTCCTCCTCTCTCATCCCTTCATCCATTCCCCCTCCATCCCCACCTCCTCCTCTTCTCTCCTCCCCCCTCCCCTCCTTCCCTTCCTTGCTCTCTTCATCCATTCCCCCTCCTCCCCCCTTCCTCCTCTTCTCTCCTCCCTTCCTTCCTCCTCTCTCATCCCTTCATCCATCCCCACTCCTCCCCCCTTCCTCCTCTTCTCTCCTCCCCCACTTCCTCCCTCCCTTCCCTTCCTCCTCTTCTCATCCCTTCATCCATCCCCACTCCATCCCCACCTCCTCTTCTCTCCTCCCCCACTTCCTCCCTCCCTCCATTCCTCCCTCCCTTCCTTCCCTCCCTTCCTTCCTCTTTTCATCCATCCCCACTCCATCCCCACCTCCTCTTCTCTCCTCCCCTCCTTCCTCCCTCCCTTCCTTCCTTCCTCCCTCCCTTCCTTCCTCCCTCCCTTCCTCTACCCACTCGCATCAATTTCTCAAAACTCCCTTCCAAAGGCTATTCCTCCATTCTGCATAACCGCGGACCTTTTCTCAAGCCACGGAGTCTCAAAGTCCGTTCCTGAATCTTTGACCGTGGCATTAAGTCCCTCGCTTTGTGTGAGTTAATGTTTTGTACTTAAAAAGGCCTCTTGGATCTCTCTCTTGTGTGTCTGTGTTTTCAGAATAGATACATATCAGGTGAGGGAGTGAGTGAGTGAGAGAGAGAGAGAGAGAGAGAGAGAGAGAGAGAGAGAGAGAGAGAGAGAGAGAGAGAGAGAGAGAGAGAGAGAGAGAGAGAGAGAGAAAGAGAGAGAGAGAGAGAGAGAGAGAGAGAGAGAGAGAGAGAGAGAGAGAGAGAGAGAGAGAGAGAAAGAGAGAGACAGACAGACAGAGGAAGAGACAGAGAGAGAGAGACAGACAGACAGACAGACAGACAGAGAGAGAGAGGCAGAGAGAGAGAGAGACAGACAGACAGACAGTTTTTGTTCCTATCTATTGTTTGTTTATTATTATTATTATTATTATTATCATTATTATCATTATTATTATTATTATTATTATTATCACCATCATCATCATTTTATTATCATTATTATCACCATTACTATTACTATTATTATTTTACTTTCTTTTTCAAATTCTCCTTCTTCTACTTCTTCTTCTTCTGCCTCTATTTCATCATTTATCTTCTCCTCCCTCTTCTCGAGGTTTCTTTTATAATTTCTTTTTCAGTTAAAAAGCGACTCATTTATGACTTTTTATTTGTTTAATTCCTTTTTATTGCATTCCTCCTCCTCCTCTTACTATTACTATTATTATTATTACTGTCATTATCATTATCACTATTTTTGTTATTGTTATTTCATCATCATCATCATTAGTGTTATTACTATTTTAATTCTTATTATCCTTATCACTATTGTTATTTTCATTATCATTCTTCTTATTATTATCATTATTATTATTATTGTTATCATTATCATTTTCATCATTATTCATATTATTATCATTAATGCTATTATCATTGTAACTTTTATCATTTTTATTATCATTATCATTATCAATGTTACCATTAGCTGCAGCAATAATGATAGTAACTTTATTTTTGTCACTATCACTTTTGTGGTCGGCATAATAGTCGTATCATCATCATCAATATCTAAGTCAAACCATTGTCATAATCGCCAGTACGACCATAATAATCCATGTCACTACTATCGTCATAAAGAGAATACTATGTCATTGCAATTATCGGTGGCATTGATACTGTAGTCATTATCAATACAGGAAAAGCTATATAAAAGTAATTTAAATCCAGTTACTATGCTAAGGATATATCGCCTTGGATTATGAGTCACTTTTTCACCCGTTTCTATGTCTGATACAAAAAATAGATGACACGGTCAGTGGGAGAAATCATTTTGTGTATATGTGTATACACACACACACACACACACACACACACACACACACACACACACACACACACACACACACACACACACACACACACACACACACACACACACGTACACACACGCATATATATGTATATATACATACATGATAAATAAATAGATAAATATGATTGCATGTATGTATATATACTCACACACACACAGATATATATATTGATATTGAGATATGTGTGCGCGTGCGTGTGTGTGTGTTTGAGTGTGTGT